TCCACGTGTAAATTATCGTGATCTAGTATGCGTTCGTAGACTTTGAGAAAGTAATGTCATAAAAATGTGACAGTCTTGTGATCTCCGTGAAAAATCAGGCCGGAAATGTCCTACACAAAACTGACGACTTGTAATCAGAATTGTTAAAATTCAATATCGATATATTAGTATCTTCGAATTAAATCTTTAAATTTTCCGTGAATTCTCGGAAATTACAGGACCACCAAATTTTTTTTGTGCCATTACTTTGTTAGCATTATTATTCATATTTTGCTTTATAAATTGATAGCAAACAATAAAATAGGTTTACTTCACAAGATAATTAAAACTTTATTTATTAATTAATAAAGCAAAAAGCTTTCATATGTAAACAGCAAAATTGATCAACGTGACGTTATATGACTTTTATTTGAATGATCCAAGTACAAAAACTAAAACAGTTGAATAGCATTATTAATATAAAGATGCTAATTTATATGAATATTTTGTCAGCCAATATTCGAAAGGAACATGAAAATATGTGAAAATGAGACCTAAGGCAATTATCTCATTTACTGCCAATTTGTTGCAGAAACTACAACCTTGTCATGTCCATGATGAGGTATGATAAAGGCCACCAATACATTTCTTCACGGCTTCTATTTATGCTATTCATAACATGTCTCTTCCAGGAATTTTCTAAATTGCGGATCTCTGTTTAAATTCTCTAACAAAAAATCAGCAGGTTCACGTAACCTGAGAGGATCCTCTTGTAAGGAATCTATTGCAGAAAACTCTAATAAATAAAATGTAAAGAAAAAAGTTTGATACAAAAAAACTTACCCGGTTCGGATATACTCCAAAGCTGATCTAACGTTACAGATTTTTCGAAGTTTAAGCACATCTGCTGAACGTGCAACTAATTCGGCTTCATCATCTTTATGTTTATCTCTTAATCTAATTATCTCTTCCCTATGTTCATCATTATTTGCTTCTAATTTTTGTATCATTACATCATATATGATCTTTATCATCGGAATCAGCCACCTTATTTCTTTGGCCATAGTCTTCTAGTTCTTCCAAGGTAAAATTATTTACTGCTGCGTTTGTGACTGCATACATTGAAACACAATAATTTTATCGTCTCCGCAATTTTTTCCTCATATAATTTCTTCGTCTCCACTTTATTCTCCTATTTCCTTCGTCTCCACTTTATTCTCCTATTTCCTTCATCTCCACTTTGTTCTCATCATATATTTGCTTTATTATTGTCGAAAAGTTTGACAAAACTGGATATACACCCTCTGAATTTACGGATGCGATTAAACCACAAGCTTCCACTGGGGATGAGTCAGTTTTAGCTGGGAATCATTAGGATTTAATGGCAAAGTATTTAATTGATCACAATTAAAATTTAAATTATCATTATCATTAGAATTCTGATCAGTTACAGTTGAATGCATAATTCCAGTATGCCACCCATATTCTCCTCTTGGAAAAAGAAATGGATACTGTAAAGGATCATAAGGTTTTTTTTTGTCTCCATTGTTTTTTTTCATAGAAGATCCATTTAAAGAGAAAAGGCGTTTTTGTATTTTAAAGCTAGCTAGAATTTTGGGTGACAAACGTCGAGAAAAAGAAATCATTTTGTTCAAACTAAAGAAAAATTATTGTTATCGTATCTTTTATTTACGCAAATCAGGTGATGAGACAATAGCTCCGAATCGTGTAACTTTAAAACTTATAAAAACATATAAAATAACATCGATAAATATATATCGTGAATTATTTATTACAGTTATATCTAGGTTATATTCCCCCCTTTTTTCCAGAACATTTTTGGAGATATAACTAAAGCAGGGATATAATTCAATATATAAAACATATAAAACCATAAAAAAAGGAAATTTATTATGGGAATATAACGATAACTCAGGTTGGGATATAACCCAATGGGGATATAACTCAGGTGACTTTATTCATTTGCGATGAGATGTGTACTGTACATTAGGGTGCAGATATGTTTAGTTACTCTTATAGTTGTTATTATGATTTCTTTTTCAAAATAAAAAATAGTTTATATTAACAAAATGTCTACATATGAATGCTGCCAAGAGAAACCCCACAAATCTTGAAAGATTTGCGGCGGCACTCATATATACCGTAGAGCACTGCATAAAGTACCCGGGGTCTTATTCAAGAACATCATTTTTTAAATTGATTAGTACCCGGGGGTACTG